GGCAGAGGGGCGTCATGCAGCAGAGAGAGGCAGGTGAGGTGCCCCCTTATGAGGTAAGGACTAGTTGGGGGAAGAGAATATTTCAGTTCACACTCATCATGTGGAGTATACCAAAAAGTGTCTGGGATGATTTTCTCTTCTCGTGAAATTTGGAGGGAATGAAAGACACTTTATTGTGGTCTGTTTTCTGTACTTCAGAAAATTTAATTAATACCATTAATACTCATGTAAAATCTGTTTGGAGTTCAAAGTAAGGAGAAGACACATCTAACCACCATCTTAGAGGAGGTCTAATATCCTGTGATACTCTTTATATTTATAATATGTATAAATGAATTATTCATAAAACACAAATGTTACATTTATGATGTTGCCATAAAACGTGATCACATCATGACAATCCCTGCAGTCATGGTTGCCATCATTAACCGAATCCCATGGTCATTAGATGAGGCAACTTCCTGCCGGCTTCCCACCACCAAAGTCAGTGGAGAAGCCAGCAGAAAGTTGCAAGTCCCAGGCCGGCAGGCACGTAACTGGCTGCTGAAGGGTGGTGGAGGGAGAGAGCGGGTGCATGGGGATGCGGGGGAGGTGCAACGAGTGTGTGAGAGGTGCAGCAAGGGTCAGGGAGGCATGTCAGGGAGGGGCTGCAGGGCTGCAAGGGGGTTCGAGAGAGGCATGGGTCGGGGAGGTGGGTGCAAGGGTGTTGGTTGGGGAGGGGGTGCGGTGCGGGCTGGGGAGGGGACGTGAGGGTATGGTGTGAGTCAGGGAGGGGTGCGAGTCACCAGCGCCAGGCAAGCGCAGAGGGGCTGGGGGAGGGGCCGCAGTTGGGGGAGACTTACCTGAGCAACTTGTGACCTTCCCTGCCGGCTTCCCCATTGATTTTCTAGGGAAGCTGGCAGGAAAGGTCACAAATGACAATAACGTGATCATGGAGCGCTGCAACAGGTTGTAAGTGTGAACCAGTTGCCAAGGTGCCCAGATTGCAATCACACGACCGTGGCGGTGCTGGGATTGCTGGAATCCCAAAGACTGGTTGTAACCACCATTCGTTCAGCACCGTCATAAGTTGGAACTGTTGCTGACCGAATGATCATAGGTAGTCCTCACTAACCGCAGTTGGGACTGGCAACTCCATCACTAAGCAACATGATCATAAAGTGAAATGTCATCAGTTCAGGCTGCAGTCATTCAGCGAATCACCATGGGTTGTTAAGCGCGCTGTCACCTGACAGCGACTTGCAACTTCCTGCCAGCTTCCTCACTGACTTTGCTTGTCGGATGCTGGCTGGAAAGGTCGCACATGGTGATCACGTGACTGCAGGACGCTGTGACTGTTGTAAATGCGCACCAGTTGCCCAGGGCCTGAGTTGTGATCATGATTGAATAAATAATTGCAAGTCAATTTTTCATAGTTTCTTTGTTCAGTTACATCTTTATTACTGTTTGAATGAAGATAAAATATTAGTATGTCCGCATATATTAAAAAAAAAAAACTTTACATGGGGAGTACTTACTTTTTCACAGGACTCTACGTTCAGATCCCCAACTAAACATCTCTAATGTCAGCACAAGGGTTCTGTTTACATTTACCCATAAATAGATTAAACAAGTCTGACGGCATTCTTTGTCATTATCTTTTTCTCTTGGGAAACATTATACAATAACTGAAATATTATCTTTTGCAGCCATCATTTTTCTTTGACCTCAGCCCCCTTCACTTCTTCATTCCACCAAGCTTTCTTTTTCACGCCTGCACTAAGAAGAACTCCATGCATTTCTGTGGCACTCTAACACAATTGTTTTCATTCTGTCACCATCCCCTTCTTTGTCCTCTTCCGTTACGTCTGTTGTCCATTCATTCTCTTGGGAGCTCAGTCTATTTTCTCATACCTTTTCATACAAGATTTGCATTTTCTCCTTCTGCATTCGTTCCGTATTCCCTCTCCCTTCTTTAATTTCTTTCTTTTTCTTGCATGTCTATTTTTCCCCAAATCTACCCCTGGCATAGTAAAAATTGGTCTGCCTCACGTACGTAACTTCCCATCCTCCTACTTCCCAAATTTTTTCCATTTTTCTTCTTCAATAATTGGATCAGTCATGCTTTTAAGTGCATCAGTTTAATACTATAAAACGGTTTATTACCGTAAATAGTAATGTAATGCATTGAATAAATAATGTAGCTGAGAAGGCGTCAGGGCTTAGAAAGCCAATAGCAGCTGTTTTTTGGTTTTGTGGGAAAGTGCAGCAAACTTACTTGCATGAATTATATTATAGTTTTCCTTCATTTGGCATTTTGCAACCTTTGGCATATATGTTTTTTTACTGTAACCCAGAATCATATGCAAGATTTACTCAGAGCAACTGTTTTCTGTCTCAGTGTCTTTAGGACTGTAAAGTTAATTTGGAGATGAGCACAAATGTTGCAGGTCTTCAGAAATTTGTTTCTTGCAGGGGATGATGGAATGACACCCAGCAGAAATTCTCACTCCACTCTTTGTCCTTGCAGTGAAGTGGAAATTGCAACCACAAAACCAGAGCAGGTAGGGAGAAGAATCAGTGAATCTCTCTCCCCTGTTATCTTTCTGAGCCTGAACAAATCTCTCTCACTCGGTTCGCTTGAGAACGTGGCTTTCTGGATCAGATGAAAGGCCCATTCAGTTGAGCATCTTTTTTTTCCCAGCTGAAAAAAAAATGTTTCTTGGGAAGCCCTCAAAGTTGAAATAAGAGCAATCCCCTTATCAGTTCTCTAGCCCTTTGTCTCTAATTCTGGAATATACTGTGTCTGCAATGATTTCTAGCTTCTGCCTACCTTCTGCTGCATCAGCAAGGGTGTAAAGATATACTCTGGAATGAGAAGATTGTCTTGACTGATCGATCGATCAATCGATCGATTGATTTTGTGCCATCAAGTCAGTGTTGAGTCTTAGGGACCAGGTGGACAGAACTTCTCCAGGATGAGGTGTCTGCAGCTGGCCCTGCAGATCTTCCATCAATGAACCCATCGCTGCTGTAATCAAGTCCATCTAGCTAGATTTTCTTTATAGCAGTTTTATTCTAGGGAAATGTTTTCTTCCTTATGCAGGAACAAGTGGACTTTGAAGAGGTTTCTGTGTCTTTCACCCCGGAGGAGTGGACTTTGTTAGATTCTGAGCAGCGAGGGTTGCACCGGGAAATCATGGAGGAGAATTGTCTAAACGTAGCCTATTTAAGTAAGGCTCCCATTTTCTCTGGCTCATGCGTTTATTTCTTTATATACAATTGTTGCACATTCTTTCTGGCAATGCACAGTTACCTACAATAGAATCATGGAATCGTAACAGATATTTTTAAAGACAGCGCTTAACAACTCTTAAGATATGATAGATGCATAGGGCAGGGGTGAGCAACCTATGGGCTGTGGGCCAGATCTGGCCCACCACCCAAGATCTGATCCAACCAGTCCACGCAAGAGCGAGGGAGAGAACAGCTGTCTGTTTGACTGTTCTTTGAGCACTCGCTGCCTCCTTGGGCAGTCATTCTGGCGATAAGTTTACCAGCTGCCCTGGCATGGGCAGAGCAACAGGTCCCCAGCCGAGCACTGGCAAAAGTGAGGCTGAGAAGGAGGAGGAAATGGTGGTGGCTGCCCTCAGCATGTATCTCGGTGAGTCGGCAAGGCCAAGCAAGACCCAGCAGCCTCCCCAGTTCCCCCCCACAACAGTCTCAGCATCCCCCATTTTCCTCCTCTCCAGTGAATAATTCCTGTATTAAGGGAGTTGAACCCTTTCCACTTCTATGTCTCTATCCCCAGATCAAAGGGAAGAACAGTGAAGTGTAACTTAATTTCAGTTAATACCTATATTTTCAACAGTTAATCCTCAAACAAGGAAAGCCTTGGTGAAGAGCCAAATCTTTTAGAGATCGATACCTTCGAGTTGGTTTCTCCCAAATATCATGGGAAGAGCCTTCCAAAGGTTGGGCAACCCTGCTTCTGTGTTTGATTAAAGTACAACCAGCAAGCCCTACACATTAATTATTACCTATGTCTGTAATGGGAATGCTGTTCTATCAGATAATCTGATTTCAACCTGCTCAGGGCTATTTATTCAACAGCAAACCTTTTTTATTCTTTTGCAGTGACTCTGGGTTGTGTGCAGAGTTAAAACCAACAATTGCAACAATCCATATAGTAAATGTCCAAGGTCACAAACAAGTTCCAGATTTAAAGATCAGAAATCAAGCAGAGTTCATACTAACCTCCTGGCCCAATGTCAGGGAGAATAGCCAGGTCTTTAGTGGCTTGTGAAAGGCTAACGGGGTCAGGGTCATTCAGATCTCCAGAGAGATGCAGCTTTTTCAGCCTGGCTTGGTGGATAATAGGCATTGCATCTGGCACTTCATATAAAGCTGCACATACGTGAAGGTACATATTCCTGTGGGGCCATGTTACTAACTCAGGCTTTTGAATTAATGAATTAAGGCTCTCCATCCAGGCTTTTGCAAGGGAACCTTGAGACCCCTCACTTCATTGCACTTGCCATCTTTTATCTTTGTTTATTATGTTTTATTGATTTTATTGTAATTTCTCTGATTGTGGTGAGCCTCCCAGAGTTGTTGAGCATTGGGTGGCATACAAGTTTATATTATTATTATTATTATTATTATTATTATTATTATTATTATTGATATCTTCATCCCAGAAAATAACAGATGCCAAATGAGGAACAAGAGAGAACCAAGTAAGCTATCATTGAAAAGAAGCAATTGTAAAACTCTGGAGGAGGAGAGAAAGATAATAGAAACAAATCAGGAATATAATATATCCAGTATTTCTGCAGACAGTGACTACCATAACACCATCCAACCCAAAATAGGTAATACAAAGGAAAAATATAGCTATCATGCCTCTAAAGAAGCTTTCTGTTCAAAATCAAGCCTTAATCCTTATTGCGAAATTGAGACTGGAGGGAAAGCATATAACAACTTGGAGAATGGCAAGAGTGTCAGTCAAAAGACGCATTTTGCTTCTCAGAGAATTCACAGAGAGGAGACGCCATATCCGTGCTTGGAATGTGGAAAGAGCTTCAGTCAAACGATCGAACTCACTAACCATGAAAAACTTCACAGAGGGGATAAACCTTACAGATGTTTGGAATGTGGGAGGGGCTTCAAGGAAACCATACAGTATACTAAACATCAAAGAATTCACACAGGGAAGAAATCATACAAATGCCTTTTATGTGGGAAGAGCTTTAGTCGGAGTACTGTTCTTAGGTACCATCAAAGAATCCACTCAGGAGACAAACCCTATAAATGCTTGCAGTGTGAAAAATACTTTAATCAAAAGAGTGATCTCACTAAGCACGAAAGAATTCATACAGGAGAGAAACCATACAAATGCTTGGAGTGCGGGAAGAGCTTTAGTCAAAAAATGCATTTTACTTCGCATGAGAGAATTCACACCGGGGAGAGGCCGTATAAATGCTTTGAGTGTGGAAAGAGCTTCCGCCAGAAATCAACTCTCAATTCTCATCAGCGAATTCACACAGGGGAGAAACCCTATAAATGTTTGGAATGTGGAAAGAGTTTCAGTCGGAATACAGCCCTTGGGTACCATCAAAGAATCCACTCAGGGGATAAACCCTATAAATGCTCGGAATGTGAAAAACACTTTAATCAAAAGAGTGACCTCATCAAGCATCAGAGAATTCACACAGGGGAGAAGCCCTATAAATGCTTGGAATGTGGGAAGAGCTTCAGTCAGAAGATGCATTTCACTTCCCATCAAAGGATTCACACGGGGGAGCGACCGTATCAATGCCTGGAGTGTGGGAAAAACTTCCGTCAAAAATCCACGCTCAATTCCCATCATAGGGTTCATACAGGAGAAAAACGGTACAAATGCTTGGAGTGTGGCAAGAGCTTCAATCAGAAGAAAAATCTCACTCAGCATCAGAATGTTCATACAAGGCCCATATAAATGTGGGAAGAACTGCAGATGGAAGTTACCTTTCACTTTTCATCAAAACACGCACTCAGAAGATCAGTGTCAGGTTCAGCCCAAAGAACCCCACGAGACAATGCAAATACAGTTCTGTTGTGTTTATTAGCTTCCACC